GTTGAGAAGTGCGCAGAGGAGGATAATGAACGACGCTACAAGCAGGTGTTAGGGGAATGCTTTTTGTCACTTCTGCTGTGGTGTGTGTTGTCTCAGTGAGACCAATTCAGAGGTATTACTCCGGTATATAACAATGGACAGGTAGGAAGTATGGATCCCGTGCAGGACTGAGGGGAGGAGGTCAGGAAATGATAGAGACACTAGAGAGCAACAATCCGAAACGCAAGGCTAAATCGTAAACGAGGGGCAGGCTAGAAGGTGAGATACCGAATATAGACTGATCATGAATAACACGCACCTGGGAGCTCGAGGAGAATCCGCAAAAGTTAGCGCGGAAGTGAGGAAAGAGGGGAACTGAAATAGTGACGGAGTGAGCGGTGATACTGTAGGTACATTCCTTGCGGCGTGAGCGTTTGTTAAACACAGCGCGCGTGGGAATGCGTAACACAGTGCGCGCTCACTGATAATGCAGGCAGGAGCTCAAGTGCTGCCAGTTGGTCTGCTACTGTCTTTCTGGAGCGCCGTGTTTGACAGCTCTAATGTTTTAAGGCTTTTAGCCTCCACAAGCTCAGACGTAATGGAAACCAGAAAAAACAACAACTTTGTAGTCCCACCACGAGAACCATGCCATACTGAAAAACTTCCTCCAGCGTTTTATTTTGAGAAGTGTTTTGAGGAGGATTTTCTTCTTTTTGCAGTAATTCATAATTACTGAGGCGAAAGGAATTTGCAGATAATGTAGCTACTGTATAGATAATCCCATACAGACCTGCAGACAGATGTACTGCAACCCCTTTTTGAGTAACGAGCCTGTCATTTGTCTTGTCATTGTTCGTGTCGTGATGAGTTATTAAAATGAAGGCATTGCTGCGCTTGTATATTGCGGATTTGATTAGTTACACTCAGTTACGTAGGAGTCCATGCTTTCTGAGGTGCCTTAAATCATGAATGCATGACTAATAGAGTACCAATGAGATCATGATTAGGGAATAGTTAGATAAGCACAAATAAACACAAAACACATGTATAATATGCGCTGTTTAATTTTATTTTAACAGTGTTATAATAAGTGCTGCTTATTGGAGTTTCAATCATTCCCGTAGTTTTGATGATTCGATGCAGATTACTATGATCCTGATTATGATTGTTTTCAGCTGACACTCAGTTCATTCTTACACGAAACCTCTTCATTGCCCGACAACATGACACACGATCTCTTTGCAGAACAGCTTGGGTTTTTTCAGCAGCGCAATGACTGATATTGCTTTGCTGGAAAGGCACACAAATTGCTACACTTTTCATTTGCTCTCTGTCATACATTGGAGAGAAAATCCCTGGTCATGGCCTTTAAAGACAGGGATTTTACAGATCAGGCTGAAATCCACCTTGTATTTTATTAATTTTCCCAGTGGGTGGGGGCTCCTAGTGGCCTGCTTTGGACCAGTGGATCTAAATGACATGGAGAGGTGACGCACACGTGCAAGGCATCCCAGGAGCAGAGTTCTGACAGAGACTTGATGAGGGGTTGCCCTTCTGAATGGTCATTCAGAGCAAGTGCTTTTGATTTGGATTTTATTTCAACACCAGAGAACTGTTTTACACTCTGGTCTGCGGCATTAAACTGCAGATAAAGCAAAGATATTATGATTCAGTGTAACAGAGAGCAGGGAACTTTAATGTCCACTCAGTCGGGACATATAATGTCTCAGCGAAAGAAATTGCACGTCCTACAGTGTAGTGTTCAACTTACTATGGCTCTGAATTGGAAATTATGATTCAGAGCACAGAGAGCAGAGAAAAGCACCACCTACAGTACAGTACTGATCCACCGACACTTAGAGCAGCAACCTGGTTTTCCTCTGTAAACTCCCATTCCAGTACTGACCAGAGTCATTTATGGAGAAACTTTAGGGAGGGTAGAATTTGTTAACCCAGAGTGGAATTTAGGCACTACTGGGGTTAATACCCCAACAGGTACAAACAGTGCTATGAGATGTTAAAGGACCAAGAAGCCAGGATCTCCATTTAATATTCCCTCTGAAGGACAGCGCCTTCCACAGGAATATAGATTTGGTCACCATACTGGAGAAGTGGTGTTTGGTCATCTGTTTCGTCTTAGAGGTCTCCCATCCCAGTAATGACAGGACGATGGGATCCTGGCTTGCTTAATTTGTTAGATGTGATCATCTCAGGCCTCAAGGAGGTAATGTTTCTGTCTCAAACTGTAAATGCCCCATTCCTCTTCACACACTCTGGCTCCCAGGGGGTCAACATTCATATTGTATTTTGATTCAGTTGTTTGACATATCCCCAAGCTAGGTTTACCACACAGGACCTATTTTGTGGTATGTGTAGAGTGTGGAAGGATTCACACTTAAATAAGCAGCTCTCTTTGATCAGGTCTCCACAAAAGAGGCACAACAGAAGAAGAAGCTATAAATAAGATCAGGCCATTTGGCACCTACTAGAAGAAACATTACTGTTTGTTCTGCAAGCAGGCAGCTCTCATCCTCTGAAAGTATGGCTTGAGTGCTTTCTGGTGCCCAAGGAAACAAAGCTACAAAAAAGAAAAAAAGAGCCCAGATTCCAGAGCACCTCCTTAAAAATGTTTTAAACTTTTCATTGATTTTTTTCTTTTTCTTTTAATGTCATCGGGAGAAGAACACTCGAGAACTGGCAGGGTGAAAATTTGATTACAGCAAGTAGCCCTAAAGAACAATATATACAGCTAAAGTGCTTTCAGGCAATAACAGAATTTCAGTCCCAGAATATCAAAGTATATGCTGGGGGCATTGGAAATGTTGCTAGAATCATTAGTTTTCAAGGCGATGTACAGTAGCATGCTTTAAGCAAATTTCGTGATGATACCTGACACGTCTAGAAAACCTTCAGCTGTTCCTGACAGGGATTTTCCTTGTTAATTTCTTCTGCCTCTTTGCCCCAAAGCCCCACCCCCTTTTCCAGCTCCCATCCCCCACTACTGTACCAACCAACTTCCTCCGCACAAGTAACGTGGAGAATTAATTACGGCTCAGAAAACAGCTTTGAAAAATTTGCAGGCCCTTTTATTTTATTTATTTCTCTCTCTCTGTGTGTGTGTGTGCTTCCATAAAGGAAATTTATACTGCTGAAAAAAAAAAGCACTCAGACAGAATGTGCTGCAGGCATTCTCTCAGATTAATGGGTTTGGAAGATAGTTTCCCACTCTTCAAGTAGCTTTATTTAATTAAAATAAAAATATAAACATGGCATATGTTTACCACGAGGAGCTGAGTTATCTTTAGATGCTTTAAGAAAAAAGAGAAGGATGCAGGTGTCCTATTTACGATGAAAAAACAGCATTTTCTCATTCCTAATACAGCACTGCAGTACTTTGACTGAGACACTGCCTTTTTTGAGATGCCACTGAAGAGACAAGTCTGTAGGACATCTCTGACTGTGACTGGACCCCAGACTGGCTGCTCTATATCTGATATGTGACTTGATCCGGAGTAAACATTTTAAAATGCTTGTGCGGTTTATTAAACCCATGACTGTAACATGATCACAAATAACTCACTTATTTTGGCCCGTTTAAAAAAAAAAGAATGTCTTGGGTATTGCTGATCACAGAAACCTGTTGTGGAATTGATTATAAATCATGGGCGAATCACTGTAGTGCAGGAATCTGCAATCCTGAACCAGGAGGGCAGGTGTAGCTCTTTTTTCAATCACCAACACCTGAGCAGCTGGGATATGCTGTCAAATTGGTCCAATTAGGCCAATAATGAACTGATTAAGGATAATGAGCTCAGTATGAGCAACACCCTGCTGGCCACCGGGATCAGTAGGACTGAAGGCTGTAATGAATAGCGGTTTATTTTAGGATGGTATTTAATGTTATGGCATTTCTGTCCTACTACAGTACATTCAAATATTGTCATACACTGGACTTCACCATAAAACAGTAATTGAGACCGTTGCTATTGCAAACACAGCACAGAAACCATTTAGTGTGGCTTTCCTCTATGAGAACGTTTTGTTCTGGTAGTTTGTAAATACTTTTTAGGTTAAAACACAAGGAAATGCTACATCAATTTGACCATCCAGAAGCACCCATTGGAAACTCGGCTCGCAGAGTGCACAGTATTGCGGAAATGCCCTCTTCTCCCACACTCCCGCCTCAAAGAGGCTGGAAATGAAGATGCGAGGACTCTGGGGCGACTTTTGGACTATCCACGAATTTTACATCCATTTACTATTTAGTAAGGATAGTATCTCACTCAGCAGGTCATTCAAAAGTCTCTAAATGCAAGTACCGTCTTGCTTGCATTTAGGCTTAACTGGCCGGTATTCGGTTTTTGCATCATCTTCCGATACCGCTTCTGTCAGCAGCGCACTGAGAAAGCAACATACTGTACTGCAAGTCTGTCAGACGGCTGCTTACTGGCACAAGAAACGAATAAAACCGATGATTAAGCCTTGCTTCAATCATCGCACCCCTGAAAACTGATTATTATATTATTATGCAAATAAACCAAATTATATCTTAGGTTTCCCAATGAAGAAAACATTATCACAATGAGAACACTCGTAATTTTTTTCACAAAGGATTATTGTCCCCTTAAGGTGGAGAAACTAATCCCCTTCAACAATATTTAGATTTTAATCCTCAACATTTGGTTCAAAGACCTGAACGCTGTAAACTAAGCACACGATTATTTCGTTATATTTAGAATGCTGGTTTAGGACTAACCTATTTTTAAAAACCGAAAAGGTGGGGGAAATGTTTTACTGTTGCAGTGAATCCTGCTATAAAAGATTAGTCTGTGTGCTAAAACCTTTGCGCCCCCCCAAAAAAAGAAAACGAAACAAATTTTTGGTTTTAAAAATGTTACACCGTATTAAGCGATATATTTAGTTCAGTCTTTTTGAACAAGGTAGTCAGCATTTCGCCGGTAGGTGGAGGTACATAACTGCAGAGTGGAGCTAAACTCTCCCCCTCACTATCCCCGGAGAAATCGGGAGATGGTAGATGTTCAACATCTTTGTGGTTCAGACCCCTGCCTCTCGTTCCAACCACAGAGCAGCGGACTAAGCATTTGAACTACTGCGGCTCTAAACCCAGGTCCACGGGGCGAAGGCAGGTTTCAAAAGGAAATATCGAAGAGACGGAAGTAGTTTCCTGCATATAGGCACCTTGGGTATAATTTTGAGAAAGATGCTACCGGCTTCTTGACTTGTAAGTTTTGCACCTTGTTTTCTGCATTGAAGTGTGGAAAGGCAGCTGGCGGAGACGAAGAATTCTGCTAGGGCCCTCACCTGCGCGTCCGAAGTGCGAGTTTGGTCAACTAACAAACTATCAATCCTAGTCTGTTTCTGACTGCAACCTCCAGGGCGTTTTAATATCTGGGAACCTTACATTCCCTGCTACCACTGCTCAGGTGATGTGTATCGCAGGAGCCTTTTCTTGCGAGAGAGAGGATATTTCTTGTCGCTTCATTTCTGACAATGGAGCGCAAATGAAAAAAGTATTTTCGTTGGATTAAGCCGCGGACGCAGCAACAACAGGTAAGTGTCAGGGACAGACAGTGCTTAAGAGTTATAAAAGGGCAAGAGCCTTTGCTAGTGTGGTGCGCTTTGATTGAATTAACTGTACAATGGTGTCCTCCTTCACTTCAGTGTTTTTTGCTCTTTATAGACATGAAAGCATGAAAAGATAAGTAACTGAATAAATAGGCAAAAATGTTGATGAACCAAAGAGCTACATGCAACAATTTGGGATCTACGACACGTAGGTGACGTTAGCTGGACGTCTGTCTTTGACTGTTTTATGAAAAGGTGTGTTTATCTTGTCAACGTAAGTGAAACAAAAGCGCATCTTGCGAATATTTCAGAAGACGTCCAAATTAAGATACAAGCTTGTCCTGCGCTGTTGTTTTCTTAAAGGGTATTCTCCTTTGCTGCGGCATGCATCACAAACTTGCTGCCCATAGTTTGCATAAAACGCGGCATGAAAGGCAAATGTGTAACGACGCCAAAATGTTTTTTATTCAGCTCAGTAGATCTGTACCTTTTTGCTGTACAGGACGTCTTGCATCACTCCATAAAAGTTACGATACTAAATTATGCAAAATGCCATATGGAGGCGAGCGTAATTAGATTAAGCCTTTGTGCAGTTCAGTATTTTGCTGCTATTGTTCGTTTATTAGCAGGGAAATGTATTAGTGTTACATTGGCATGAGTTAATTGATAACATCTAATTCCATTAATCATCAGTGGGATGTTATTTTGCTTCACTGTTTGCCACATTGGACTCTGTTTCAAAGCGCCTGTTCTCCCACTAAAACCTGTATCTGGCGCCCTGGAGACTGAGAAGGAGCTGTTTCGGCGAGGTGTGAAAAGCAGTGTTCTCCCTTTTCACTGTCTGCGTTAGTGAATAGCATTCCCGGCACTATGGCGCAATCGGACCTCAAGTTCTGTCAGGTGCACATACAGTATACATCAAATAAGAATGAATTCACACGTGACTGGAGTAGAGCTAAATTCTGTTTACGTAGGTCTTATACACACATTCATAAATCAGTAAGACGTGGCGAATTTGTTTACGATTTTTTTTATTACTATTATATTAAGTCTTATTTGGTCTTATTTAGGGGAGCGAGGAAAAACAAACTAGATGTCTTTAGATTTAATTTGCCCCGCCTTGCTGTAGAATGGTTTATTGGTATGCCTACAGAACAGCTTGGTGTCACAGGTACACCGTGCATATATGCGTCCAGAGTGCAGTGCGGAATCACATCTAAAGTGCTGCATTACCAAACGGTTGCGATACTGCTGCTGAGAGGTGGAAAACATTTTTCAGTGTGAATTGCTAAAGCAAGGAATTAAAAAAAAAGGTTTTAATTTTCAGCACTGCTAAATTCTTGGTCATTTCTCTACGGTCTTCTATTGGACGGGGATACTCTCCGAACTCTTGAACATTTTCAAATCTTTTACAATACTGTATTAGCGGAAGAGAGGCTGATTATCGGTAGATGCATACATTTGTCGGAGGGAAATGATTAGCTTTTCATCTGAGAACAGGTGACTGAAAATGTATCGATTGCGTGGATGCATTCTCTAGTTCATGAAAGTTGAAATGGTATTTGGGTAATTTAGTAGTCTTTTAAGCGAATCTGTTTCTATAAAATATCCTATGCAGATTATCCAATAACTAGAAAGCTTCTGCTCATTAAAATTAAACTGAAAAAGATAGAATAAAAAATCTCATGTTTATATGGATCTTTTTTTTTCTTAATACTTCCAGTGTTACACCTTTTCTGGTTACTGCTTAATAACTCGGATTGTCTTGGGATACAGATTTGGGAAAACAGCTGTCTCTTTTCACCCCCCAGAATTTGTCTACATAGTCCATGTCTCTCCACGTCTCGTCCAAGATGCACAGAAATGTAACTGTTATTGAGACTTTTTTTCCTTCAAGCCCTGCTGCCACCTGAGCATCTCCTTTGAGTTGTGTAGGAAGCTGCCTAATTCTAATAATAACTGAACGGAAGGTCATTATGACCTTTCACCCCTGAGGTTTCCATTGGAAAAAATTGGTATGACCCGCTCCTCATTTCTTTAACTGATAATTAGCAGGATCAATGTAACAGCATTATGAGGTGATTATAATGAGGTCCTGGCTAGTAGGAAATGGTTTTTGCAGGTTGGTTAAGAAGCCCTGCTCCAGGGTGTACAGAGGTGTGGTTAATTGCAGAGTGAGTGTGAGTCTGAGGCAGAGATAGGTTTTGCTGCAGGAATTTTTAGTTGTCACCCCTAGGTTTTACTCACTGGGCCACTGAATCTTACATTGTAGCTGACTGGTCTGTATCTCCTCTATGGATGCACAGAGGACTATGATGCAGTTTCACACCCTCCACAAGCAGAAAACTAAACTGAGGTTATATACACATGCAATGGCTCTGAAACGTATTTGTAAAACAAGATTGCAAAATGTGCACTCTGTGGCTACAATACGGCCTTCCTTTATGCTTCAAAGACCTAAGAACTCCCACTCTTGTTTTCTCAATTGTCATGTTTCCTCAGCTTCTTTTCCTGTGGGGTTAACGAGGTTTGGACACATTGGAGACTCGTTTTATGTGGAGTACAGCATGTTTATTTCAGTACATTTCAGTGTGTATTTCCTGGTATTGTGCTCAAGCAATGATCAAGTAAACGGGAATGAATTAATATTGGTGGCTTTTTGATAAAAAGAAAAAAACAAAAAATGTGAAACGTGCACGTTCAAGCTTTATTCAAATAGTTCATAAGTACCCTGATGTTTGTTTGTAGAAGAGAACGTTCAATACTGAAACGATTTGCTAATCTAAGTGAAAATTCATTAGGTGCTGATGTACAGTATCAAGAAGATTCTCGTGTTTCTTAATTTTCAACACTGCTTGTATCACTTAGTTCCTAGGCTGTCTCTATCCCAGCATATAATAATCTCTGCGCTAAGAGCGCACCGCCTACTTTGCTGAAACTGTAATTTAATTTTAATTTCTTCGAGGCGAATAATTTCAAGCACTCCAACACAGTAATTCTGCAACACGGGAAGGCGCTGCTTTGTTGAAGTATTTTAGGCAAGCGGTGATTTTGTTTTGGAACATGAGTAATAGGTTGTGAAACCACCTGGAGGCTGATTTGCCTCGCCGTGTTTTTTTTCGTTTTCCAGTGTTCATGCTTTCTCCTTCCCGCACACCTTGCTCAGCTCTTAAGAACTCGGTTCTTAATTGTAGTTCTTATTTGCGCTATCCTTGCATTTCAATTCAAAGGCAGAATACTGGCTGTTTTTGCTTGGCGATACAATTCCGCGGTGAATTAAATTAATTTATCTTTATTAATTAAATTCTTCTTATTCAGCTTCTGACATCTGCCCTGTTACTGTATATTGTGTTACCTAGATGGCCCTTGTCAGCTCCTGAAGCTGCATTCGATGCTGAAGGTTTTGTTACGATATCTGCCGGAATTTGCTTATACGCTTAGGAATACGAATAGGTTGTGACTGCCTGGAATTCAGCTTTGTGTCACTTCGCGTAATGCGAAGACAGGTGGATTTAATTGGATGGAAATGAGGGAACTGCTTTGGCCTGCTATTCTAACGACTGTCTCCAGATAAATTCACAGCGATTCACGCATATTTGTAGTTTATCTATCTGTATATTTAAGATGCTGTTGAATCTATAGGCCTTGGTTTGAAAAGAATATAATTTTTGCGCAAGGACCGCATGTTATATTTATGCTTTAGTGACATAACTCAAAAAAAGTATGCAACATTTCTGTTTGTAAATATACAGTATATTTTAATTGGTTCAGCAAATTATATTTCTGTTTTCTGTTTCTATTTGTTAATAAATGGACAGTCCAGATATTGAAAAGCTTACAGACTGGTTTATCCCCATTTGGGCTCATCTGTCCTTAGCACCCATGTCCAAACCATACCCCTGTCCCTATTTTGTTCTCCTTTTGTGCTGGAAGCTCTGCCTACTCCTGGAGACATGAAGACTGAATTAAGGGTTTTGCCCCCACTGCAGTAATATTACACATCCTTAAATACTTTTGTTGCTTAATGAATTGCTTTATACAGTAAGTATATTCTGCTGTATATTTTCATGCCTAGACTTTGAAATGCTCCTGTGCTAATTTCTCCACCACCCATCGTGTACAGCTATACAGCACTGAAAGGTAGAGCCTTGGGATTTTAAGGTGGCTAGCCTGCTTGTTCACTTTCAGTGTCCTTTTAACCTTGTCCTCTAAGCTGTATCCTCTCGTGACTCTACAGAGTGCTGTGGCTTTCGATAATTGCATCGAAAGCAGCTCACAGACGGATTTCCTGTATTCCAATATTGCCTGCCCAAGTGGAGATTTTTCTCCCTAATTTTCTTCCAGTGAAATCCATTCTGCTTTTCCCTCTGTGCTGTAGTGGGAAGGAGACTGCCCTTGTTCCTGAGAATTGAATACCTTTGTTTTTTGACCTGCTTGGTGTCTTAATCTACGACCTAAGCATGCAGGGTGTATCTCACACAATATAATTTAATGCTTTTCCCAGAAAAGACATAAGGGCACAGTGTACTATTATAGATTATGTCTGAATCTCGGCATGGTTGTTTAAAAAGTGCAGGTGTGTGTGGTGACAATGTTGTGCACTCTGGTCCTATTGTGCGAGCATCTTAGAGTCCCTAGAGCTCTAGACACAAAAAGAAGAGCAGAGAAAGTGATAAGGCAGAGGTAATAAAGAAGCTGTGCATGTGGCTGGCCAAAAATGCCACTTTTCAATAGTGATTTTCTAGTTGTGCTATTGTGACAGTCACTGTTCCGCACGGGGTCGTGCCCCCCGCCGCCCATTCCGACCCCCACATCTGGGGCGCGAACCCGGGTCTCCAGCGTAACGCAACAGGGCTCCGACTGCGTGAGCTAAAGGAGACCTCCCTCAGCCCAGGCAGCTGAGGACCCTGCTACGCGCAGTGAGGGTGCTGACCTCACCACACTAGCTCCGCTACACTATTAAAACACGGGTGCATCATCCTTGT